CAAATTAATCTTTCCAAGTTTTCCTTTCTATCAATTGAAATTAAAGCCTTGTAGCAGATGGTGTACGTTCAACCAACAGATGGTAGAACGAAAAAATAATACTAATATTTTAGTTTCATCATATGTCTGACATGGTCTTGTACTTGTGGCCAAAAACTATATAAAGAATGAGAGATGCAGTAATTTTAATTTGCTTGGTGCTGTATGTGTATGACTTGCAATGAACCATAATCTTATTGATTTTAATACTGATGACTATCTAATACCACATACAGAAACTATATAGGACACGTGGTAGCCCTTTTTTAAATTTCAAATCCCGAAGGCAAATAAAGACAGTTTTAAATTTTCCTATTTTCCACGGACTATAAAAGAATGGGACCAAATTACCTGAACACATAGTTTATTCTTCTAATTCGCTAGAGGTTTTTAAGAGTAAATTAGTGAACCATTTTTAATTTTTCTATTGAGTACATAAAGATATATGTAGCACTAGAAGTATTTTAAGTAATTTTAGATATTAGTACAGTACATTCATATTTGTAAATTGGTTTTATAATTGGTGTGATCTCGGAATGAGTTTACCGACTTATAATAAATTCAGATTTAGAAGTGTTATTTACTTGATATTTAGTGCTTGAGTCTTAGAAACCTAACTATATTGTCGTTAACTATAGTTGTTGTTAGATTTATACCTGAATTAATTCTTTACCTTGTATCACATTAAACACTGCAAAAACACCCCTAGTATTTTGATTCAAAATATAACAAAAACATACTCCGTATAATAATGTAAACTTAGTGTGCAGTTAATTGACAATGACCCCATGAAATAGAGTCGAAATATTCCCACGATAATTTGTGTCTAGTTTTCTCTAAATAATTCCTATCTTGAGTTTACAAGATGGTCGTAACCATTATTATTCGGAGTCTGTATGTTTTTTTCTTATATTTCTTAAAATGTCCCCAGGATTTTGACACAAAAACTCAGTAAAATAATGCACCCAAATGCACCCACATGAATGACACAAAATTTGCTCATAAATTTTAGTAAAATTACTCAAATCTGGAGTAAAATTAGTTACACATTTTTTGAGTAGAGTTTCAAATTTACTCAGTGTTTTGATTAAAGATTTACTTTATTTTACTTTACTTTAAAAAGTGAGTAAATTCGCAGTACAGTAAATAGATCAGATATAGTAAACATGTTTCATAACAGAAATAAACTCATTCCGAGCTTAAATTCTGTCCATGCATGCATGGTCAGTCGATCACGAGTGCCATGAATTGTTGCCTGCTCTATAATTGCATGTATAAAAATTCAAACAGTGTTAATGCGTGACTTCTTTTCAACCCTGCTTGGCAAGTATTAAAAATTAGGAAGTTTTTTGAGGAAGTTTCGTAATATTTGACCATGGCCATTGGATAATACGTCATTGGCTTAGTTTATCCACAGGCTTTTTTTAATTTAGGAACTTTTTCTTGTCCTTTCGGCACTTCATATAAAAGTGCTCCACTAAATACATTTAGGAAATCTCTTCATCGAAGCAAGAGAAGAGGTCGATAAATTTGCGCTTTTAAAATGTATCAAATTGTCAATCAACACACTTCCATGGTGTTATAAATGGTTTTAACAATGGCCTAAGTTAAAAAAAAAATAAAAATCTTATAACCACAATTTTTTTTAAGGCATTGTAGGATTTTCACATTTTTCAACTTAAATATTTTTTTGCAATATCAAAAGGTGCGTTGAAAGATTACAGTAAGCGAAAATATGTCATTCAAAACCGCATATCACTTATTAATATTCAGTTCATCAGTTCAGTTTCAAGTTGCTGTAACCACTCAAAGATTGAGCATCAAAAGGGATCAATTTAAATTTCTACCTTTTGAATAGAATTGGTTATTTTAGAATTCGTTTTTGTCATTCATCAAGTGTTTGCCTGCACTAATATAGTGACGCGCGTGCGCACTGCAAACACATACACCGTGAAAATAAGAAAATTATAGAACAACAAAAAAGTGTTATGGAATATGGGATTTAAAAGGCTTTGTTTACCCAAATTGCATTCTTTTACTAAATACAACAAGCGTAAAAATTTGTGGCATTCTAATAATTTCTTTATCTACTCGTAAAAACTTCCGATACAGTTATATTCATAACTGTAACAAAGAGCACAGAATATTATTAACTGTTTTTTTGAAATTTGATATGTTATATTACATTTCTGAATTCAAGAAAGCGTTGAAGTTTCAATGGATTCTTTGTAGATCTTACGTACAATGCAACTTTACTTTTTGTCGAAAATATTTTATGAATTCCCAAACCGTTCACAACAGTTAAACGTTCAGGAACATTAGATATGATATTATCCCACGACCGAGAAAAAACGAGTAAAGAGACATTCTATCCAACACGATAAACACACAAATTTTTAAACCAAGGACCTCTTTTATGAATTCGTCAATGGAGGGACCGCACTGTAGATTTTAAGGAGTTGTTGAATCAGCTCCAAAATTGTTATTCTGACATCAAAAACGGTGACATAATATTAATAACACTTTTGTTTTGGAGTAAATTCAACTTTTTGAAATTTACAGTGCGTCAAGAAAACGGAGTACCCAGTCCCTGAAAGTCTTTTTTGATGATTTTCTGCACTTTTAGACCTAACTTTTTGATAGTATTTCATCTGCTAGGCAAAGCCAAAGGTTTGGCCACTGCCCACTGGAGTTTCCTCATATTTTAGACAGAATTAGAGATAGTGACAACACGTTGCCGACCGGAAGTCGATCAAGCCGTTATTGATGGCGTCAGCAGTTGCTGCTTGAAATAAATAAAAAAACGACAGTCGATGTTGTTTCACGTTCGCGATTTGAAACAAGAATTCCTCTCGCCATCTATTTAACGATTAACGGCTTGATTGACATCTGGTTGGCGTATACGCATATATGATAAAAAATGTCTCTTGCTTTGAACTCGAAGAAGATTTATGTTGGAAGAAGCTTAATTATAGTAGTGCCAAATCCCACGCACTGAGGGAGTGACTCGTGCATTTCGATGTCCTCAAACGTCCTGTTTCACGCGTAAGAAAAAAACCACACTCTTTTTAATCTTTAATAGCTCTAATTCTCACGCTATCGTACACATTCTTTCTCACTTTCAATTTGATTGCATGGTAAGACCAAATATGAGCCTTTCAAGTATATAACCTTTCCGACTGGAGTGTATATTTTCATATTCTAACGAAGCATTTTATATTCGCTGCGTGAGTTTGTCATGTTATAATTGCTTGGAATCACAAGCCTTGGTATTTACACAAATATAGTTCGCGCTTGTGGTGTACTTGAGCGTGAATTATGAAATATTGCATACAGAACTCGAGAAAGTATCTTGCACCTATAACTTTGAGGGATATGTCACTCTGAGAAAAGCTTACATGGATTACAAAATCCATTCGAAAGTACTCGGGGATTTTCAGCGGATTACAATGGATATTTTTGGCAAGATTTTAGTTTTGGGAAGATTTTGGGATTGCGAAAGGGATTTTCCGCGACTTTGCAGGAGATTTTGTGAGATTTTTTTATAGCGATTCTATTTGTTTTCTGCCTGGGAGTAATGCACCCCTCTTCAGTTTCAGGTTGAGTTGAAAAGCACACGCAAAACCCACTGTGAAACTTTCAAAAATTGCTCTAATATTTTGTATTCTTTATCTTCTAGATCCACCAAATCATGAACACGCCAGTACTTGTCCTTACTCAGTATGTCTACGCCAAGAAGCAAGATGGCGGCTTCTATTCCGGGCGAATCGAAGGCAAAGAAAGCGAAAACATGTACAGTGTCGCTTTCTCAGACTACACAAGATCAACTGTCGATGAAAACGACCTGGTATGGCTCGGCTTCTACAGTTTACCGCCCCACATTTGGCCAAAATCGCCTCTTATTCACCCGGTTAAGTTTCCGAAGGACGATGCCGGATTTCACAACGGCGAGATTAAGCGAGAAGTTGATGATCTTTCGTCCCGAATTCCGGAATCCCTGAGATTATTAAAGAATGGCAAAGATTGGATTCGTGGTGAAGAACAAGTGCTCAGTGCGGAGAACTTTTGTTCAACAGAACGTTGTCGGTGTACGAATGATGACGTCTCAAAGTTCGAATCGGTATCCGCTCGCGAGGAGAAAATACACATAGGACCAGCGAGGTCCACTGTTCTACGGTTAAATAGAAAAGCGCTTTCGGAAGAAACTTCTCAGCAACAGAACGGACACGAGACGTGCTCTCCAACATTGGATGTTAGAACGGCTGAAAATGAATACGCGAGGTACGACGAGAGGAGAGAACGCCATTTTGCAAATACAAGGTAAAAATTTAAATTTAAGTTTCAATCAAAGATTATTATTATTATTCATTATTGTTTATTATTATTATTGCTTATTGATTACCATTATACAGTATGCTTACAATAATAACATAAGTTATGATAAAAGTTACAATAAAACTAATGGAGTAATGCTATATTCACAATTTAAAATTTAGATATATGCTGTCATATAGTTTAGTCTTTAGTGGTTCAAAATAGAGTCACAAGGACATGCTTAAAACTCGAATCATTCTTGGGGAAAAGTTTTTCTTAAAACCTACCTTTGAACGACGACCAGTTGTTAAATTAAAATTACGTAAATTATAGTTCGCGTTTTATCTAGTCCGAGGTAAAGTTAGATGAGATAGCCGATCATGCCATTGGTTATCTTTTTAATCATTCTTTCGCACAAAGCATCGTGTCTCTCATTCTCGGTAAGACCTGCCAGGGAGGATTATATTCAGGGCTCTTTTCTGGACTCTTTCAAATTGAGCCGTCAGCCAGATAAGCTGGTAAGAACAAGCTTTCATTGGTAGGAATGCAACTCCCTGAAGAATATAAGGAGGATTTCGACGTTTCGAGCGAAGGCCCTTCGTCTGGAGTTACGAAGGGCCTTATTAATTCGCTCGAAACGTCGAAATTCTTCTTATATTGTTCAGGGAGTTGCTACCAACGAAAGCTTGTTCATATTATTGCATGGCATTACCTACACGGCTGGCACAAACGGTTTAAGATAAGCTGGTAGACTGTTATGCCACGCAATACAGCAATACTCCAAAACGGAGCGAATGAGTGCATACAGTAAATATGGATTAGTTCATAAACTTCATATTAAAGGTGGAAGATCATGTCACTAAACTAATTTTATATACGCACTGGATAGAATCTTGAACTGTCTTCGCCAGTGTAGGTAGTGCCAATCAAATGAACAAGCTTTCGTATGCAACTACCCGAAAATATATAAGGAAAATTTCCTTGTGTATTTTCAGGTATTTTTGCATCCTTATATACCAACGAAAGCTTGTTCGTATGTACTGAATGTTTACATCATTTACAAGAGTGAGTTGACTACAAATTTTTGTAGTTCGGCTACAGCTACTTCAAAAATATGTAGTCAGCTACAACTACTGCTACTTTTGAACAAAAGTAGTTCGCTACTGACTACAGCTACTGCTTAAAAAATGTAGCGAACTATTTCGCTACGCTATATTTTTTAGTTTTACTGTATTTGGAGCATCTACTGTACTGTAACCTATAACAAATGGACTTACGAGTAGCAACAGTAAACACAAAGCAACATTTTTATAAAATATAAAATATTGCGCTAAAAATATTCTTTATTGCGATAAGATATAAATATAAAATAAGATGGCACTTTGTTGCACGACATATTTAAATTTTATTCGTGCAAATTGACTATTGAGTATTGATTTTACTCAAACTGTGTCTTAAGGTGGCTCCATACAGTTTCTTGAAAAGTGGAAAAGACACTTTTCAGACCGAAAAATGTTGTACATTTATATTTTTATAGAAGAATGAAACCAGATGTCTTGTATAGAACAGTATTTTGAGAATCAGAAACTGTACGGAAAAGTCCGTAACTGTGGTTACGTTTACTATGGCAACAATGACGTTTCAAAATGGCTGCTAATTTGCATTTGAACAAGTTTAATTCGAACACAACGTCGGTGACCCCCAATTTTTATTTTATTAAAAGTTTTTTTTCTAGTATGAAGCAATCATTAGGACAATTTTTAAAAATTCTGTAGATCTAAAATTTTTCAAATCGAAAAAACGTGTTTATTCGTGACAAAAAAACATTCCCTCGAAAAGTCGAAGTTCTCCTGGTATTTTTCATGTAGTAAGTTGCATTCCTATTAATCCGAATCCAGCGGCGTAACGCTCATTGGTTAGGCCATATAAAATAAATTCCTTGATTCTCATCACCGCCCGACGATATTTTGGTTTCCGCGTTGATATATTTTTGTATTTTGTTATAAAATATAAATTTACCGCCCGACCGAGCATCTTCAGAGATTTAGTTATTTTTATATTTTATATTGGAATTTTTGCGATATAAAATTGTTTTATCGTTAATATTGCAACATGTTAAGGGATGCTTGGAATACTGAAGGGAAAAATGGGCTTATAGCCTTATTACAACGATTTGTGTGGACCCTTATGCATGTTCATTAGCGCATGTGCAATTATCCACTTATATAGCGTTCTTCTATAATATATTTAAGGGCAAATATAAAAAGACCTCCCTCTCCAATTTTTTTAAATTTTAAACTTTTTTTTTATATTTTGACATAAAATATAAAATATAAACCTCCCGCCTCCTGGGAGTTTTTAAAATTTAGCGATGAGAATCAAGGAATTTATTTTATATGGCCTTAGGGTTAGTTCGAAAACTAAGGGCCCCAGACAGTTAGGAGCCCCCATCAGCCACGGTCTATCGCCCAGAAAATTACAAAACGTAAAAAATGCAGGTTAAGAATCAATGGGGAAATGCAAAATTTATAATGCTAAATAATAAAGTCCCCATCGACAACGGTAGCTAGCCGATTTTTTATTCCATCTCAAATTAAACGAAAGTTATTCTTATTATAGTTGTTACGTGAGTTGGAGACTGTTGTTGTTGTTGTATATAGACACGGAATTTTCCAGAGCATTCTATAAATATTCAATATAAATATAATATCTCTGTCAAACAATAACAACAGTCAACAGGGGCCACCACGCCTAATATGCCTGAAGGGCCCGCCCTTCGTCATTAGACGAATTCCAAAATAGCTCTTCTTTTTATTTTGCTCAAATAATTAATCTAATGGCATGCACCATGGCCAGAAACATCAAGTAAAAGTTCTTAAATCTTGAAACGCCCAAATATTATACACATAACAAACATCATATTATGATTTTTTCTGTGTTGGTGTAATGTACTCAGGTGAATATGATGCTTGTGATGTTACTCTGAGTGTATATCCACACCGGGCAAGCTTGAAAAATATGCCTGTCCACGGTGCAAATCGAACCTCCGACCTTTGGAATACTAGCCCAATGCTCTGCCAACTGAGCTACGCGGTCACGTCGGTTCGAGTATGTGATATTTCGGAACTGAGTCTAGTTCCTTCGATATGTCAATGTAATCTAGTAATCATGATTTTTTCTGTGTTGGTGTCGTAAGTTCGATTTCCAAAGGTTGTAGGTTCGAATTCCACCGTGGACAGGCATATTTTCAAGCTTGCCCGGTGTGGATATATACTCAGAGTAACATCACAAGCAAAACATCATATTTTTGGTTAGTGGCGCTTTAATTACTCGCGAGCTTAAGCGATGTCTTCGGCGGTACATTTTATGTCACGCAGTCGCGAAATATGATTGGTTAGGGGGTTAGGGATTGGATTAGGTTAGGTTTCATGATTGCGTGACAACATAACCTCTTTGCCGCAAGCAACTGTAATAGTCTTCGAGCTTTGTATTTTTACAAGATAAGTACAACAACAACACGAGGCCCCATGGGGGGTCTCAAACCGGAAGTATATCATTACATCCTCCTTTCCCTAACATTAATATGAAAGTTTATAGTTCCTTGAGTTTCAGTATAGTACTATAGTTTCTTTTAGATATCAATAAGATAAGATGTTTTGTATATATATAATAACAAGTCATTTACAGACTGTCGTCTTGTGTTCAATTTCTTTCTACATATCTAAACGTGTTGGGGGTACTACTATTCTGCCGCTACGCGTTGTGTATTGGTGGCTTTCTTGGGTGCTCTTAGGGAACGGGGTTTCGGGGTTGTCTAGTGTTTTCTCACAGGGTTGTTGATATGCTTGTTCCATTGGATCTTGTGGGCGTTCTCGTATCTGTGTTCGATTTCGTCTGATTTCTCCTCCTCCTGGTTTCGTGATAATGTAAGATCGGGGTACTTCTTGAATTTTCTCTTTTATCTCTGCGGGTTTCCAGGTTTGTGTCCTTGGGTCTTGGATGTTTATGCTTTGACCAGGTTTTAATGGTTGGAGCGGTTTTGTATTTCTGTCATGGTAGTATTTCTGCGTAGCTTGCCGCTGTAATAATCTGCTAGTCACCTCCTCAGTTGTTTTTCCTTTCGGTATTTTCTTTGGCAGGTTGTCTTGGATTGGTCTACCAAATAAGAGCTCAGCTGGGGATGGAAGAGTGCTGTTGATTGGAGTTGCCCGTAAGCATAACAAAGCCATGAGTGGGTCTGTATTGGTTGCTCTTGCTTTTTTCATTGTCTTTTTCGTAGTCTTGACTTGGCTCTCAATAAACCCATTGCTTCTGGGGTAGTGTGGTGAGCTTGTGGTATGTTGGAAATTATATTGCTTTGCGAACTCTTTATATGCTTGTCCTTCAAAATGGGGCCCATTATCGGATCTTACGATTTTGGGTACTCCTTGTTCGCTGAAAATTTCTTTCGTTAAATTCGCGATTGTCCTACTGCTGCTCTTCCCTTTTGGTACCTCTCGCACGAACTGGTATTTTGAGTAGTAGTCAGCGACCAATAAGTATTCCGCTCCGTCTAGGTAGAATAAGTCCGTGCCGATGGTATGCCATGGACCTGGCGGTACCTCTGTCTGGATAAGTGGCTCTTTGGGTTGACTGTTCTGCATTTCTTGACATGTATTGCACGATTTGCACGACTTCTCAATGTCACTGTTCATTCCTCTCCAGTAAACCGATGTTCGTGCTCTTAATTTAGTTTTTTCGGACCCTTGACGACCTGCGTGAAGCTTCGTAAGTATCATGCTCTGCATACTATGGGGGATGATAATACGTTGGCCTTTCATTGCTATACCATCTTCGGTGGTGATCTCATCACGAAAGGTCCAATAGGGTTTGAGGATTTCTGGAACCTGCTTTATGTTCGTTGGCCATCCATTGTAAACCACATCATTTAATTCTTTAAGCTCCGTATCTGTTGCACTTGCCACGCGGATCTCCTGCAGAATCCCACTACTAAATTGTGGACAGATTTCGTGTATTTGGACGTCAGAGATGGGCTCTGTTTCCTGGGGCGAAAGTCTTGATAGGGCATCTGCGATTTCCATATCTGCTCCTTGACGGTACTTGATTGTAAGGCTGTACGGCTGTAGGCGCAACAACATCCGTTGCAGGCGGGGTGGGGCTGATGTAAGGTGCTTAAGGTGGATAGATTCAAGGGGTTTATGATCAGATTGGACTGTAAAACTGCGGCCGTAGAGATAAGTGTGGAATTTCTCGCATCCGTATACAACTGCTAAGAGTTCTCTTTCGATGTTTGCGTATCGTGATTCTACGTCAGTTAAAGCTTTACTGGCAAAGGCGACTGGCTTGTCTTCTTGCAAGAGTGTAGCTCCCAGGCCTTTTGTTGATGCGTCAACTTGCAGTACTGTCTCTTTCTCTGGGTCGAAGTATGTTAGTGTAACTTCTTCAGAAATTAAATTCTTGATCCTGTCAAACACATC